CAGCTTTTAAACCAGCTCAGAAAGCCTCCAAGGCCAGAGAGGCAGCTCACTCGAACAAAAGCAAGTCGGGGAAAGGAGGGACAAGCCCCAGGAAACACACACTTAGGTTTACTGAACTAAGGAGGAGGTATGGAACCATCACCGGAGACTCAGACCTTGTCCCCCATGCCAATGCAAGAATGGGGACACAATTGAGAAAAAGGAAAAAAGAAGTTTTAACTGCCGTGTTAGCAAAGAGGGACACGGGGGACTTCTGTCCCAGAGCTGTGACTGTTCCTGTCAGGGAGCTTTGAAAGAGGGGCCTTAAAGGCTGCGTTCCAGGGTGCCCTGTCAGGGGTCGCCATCTTCCGATGGCCCTGAGGGAGAGCCGCTTCTTACATCTTCCAGCGCCTTCCCGAAGTTTGGCTTACTTCACTGCTGTGGTGGATACATGCTCAAGGACAGATAACTCGGCCTAGGATGGCAGGAAGGGTAATCTTGCTTCCCCTCAGGGTAGGGAGGGGAAAGAGGAAAAACCAAGTCGGTTTCAAAATAAGTTGCAATGGTAGAGCAGTAAGGGTGCTTCAAAGCATAAAGTGGACCCCGTTACAGAACTTACTAGGTTTTCATTACTGTAACAAAATTCCTAAGGAGGGCTTCATATGAAGAAAAGGAGGTTGATTTAGCTCACAGTTTTGCAGGGTCACTGCCAAGATCAGGTGGAGCTGGGTGTAGGTTGGACAGCATGGGCTTGGCCTCTTGTGAGGGCTGTGGATAGTGGCACCCCTGGGCAGGAGGGTGTATAGAAATATAAAAGCAATTCTATCTCAGACAGAAGCAGAGAAGGTGGGAGGGGCCAGGCTTGCTCCTTTTATAACAACCATCTCAGGAGAATTACCCAAGCATCACAGGAGAGCAACCTCATATCCCCAGAGCTCTAAGGACCTCCCATGAGGTCCCCACTCTTGAAAGTCCCACCACTGTCCTCAGCACCACCTGGGGACCTAGTTCCCTAGTTCCCAGAGCATGAACTTTTGGAGGAACATAACCATTCAAACCATCCCTGTAACTTAAGGTAAATATATATGATATTCAGATCTTACTTTATATTAACAGTTTTAAATCTAACTGAAACACAAAGATATTTAATATTTACTATGCCATTCTCTCATAATTCCTTGCTGCTTCAGCTTAACATTTTCTTCTGAAACATAGAAGAAAAATAGAGCTCTTTCAGGCTCTATTTTTTCACCATAATGTGTGGAAACCAGGGCAGGGAGGGGCTTTTGCAGGTTAACTTTGGAACAGAGCCGACCCTAGACGTGGGCTTTCTTCAGTGAGAATGAAATCATTGTTAAAGGCTCTCGCAGAGAACGCCCTCCAGGATGTGCATACAGTCTGCTCTGAGCATCTGTCCTATTTAGTCTTCAAAATCATTTTGTACCATGGCTTCATACTTTCAACTCATAGCTCTATCAAAAACCAGTTATGAGCTGGGACAGTGGCACACACCTGTAATCCCAGCGGCTTGGGAGGCTAAGGCAGGAGGATCTCGACTTTAAAGCCAATCTCAGCAAAAGTGAGATGCTAAGCAACTCAGTGAGACCCTGTCTCTACATAAAATACAAAACAGGGCTGGGGATGTGACTCAGTGGTCGAGTGCCTTTGACCTCAATCTCTGTTATCCACCTCCCCCCAAAATCAATTATGAAAGGTAAGCTAAGTAATGAAAATTTATTTTCACAAAGTTTGAAATGAGAGACATTTTTAGGATTCAGTTTTCAAAAACACAGTTTTAGAGAATGAATTTCAGGTGACCATTAACGCATGTAGGAAAGAGGACCAGATTATTCCTCAACAAAGCTTCCATTTGGTCAGGACTGAGAGGAACAAGTGACTGCTCAGGCACATGGCTGTCTCTGGCTCACGGGGTTGAGACTCACTGTTTCTCAACTTGGTGATGGATGGTGAGAACCTGTGCACACTCAGTAGAAGCCAGGGTTCAGGCTGCTTAGTTTGGCAGTACTGGGGAGAATAAGGGCCCTGTGCATGCTGGGCATGCACTCTACCGCCAAGCTCCATCCCCTGCTCCTGTAATTCAGATGTTGAAGTTCGATCTTTCCCTGGCCAGCAGTGTGCCTGCCGTGCTCTCATGGCGGTGGCTCAGCCCCTGGAGAAACACCTAGTCGCAAAGGGAAAGGACCAGTGCTCTGCCCTGGACCGTGCAGCTGAGCTGAGGTTTGGCAGGTCAGGCGCACTGAATGCCTTTTTGACATTTTCATGTTGTGCTGGATTTTTCAGGACATAACTCCATTGTAAGTCGAGGAGCACCTACACTTGATAATATCCCTGCAGAAAAATACTCAGAATATCCAGTCGAGTTGTAACACGGCAAGCAGAGCAGATGGGGCCCCGTCTTCGCGGCTCCATGGAGACAGGACTCTTCCTTTGAGAGCACGAGCAGTTTAAAAGCCTCTTCAGCAGCTGCAGGTCAAGTCAGCAGATTCATTCAGCAAACACTGACCTGATTTTGCCTGAAGACAGAAGAATAGCCGATTTGTGGCATTAATTACTGCATCCGTAGCTTGTCCCATTTTTTTGCTCTTTAGCTCAAAGCAATTCCTAATGCATAAAAAAGTTAATGGACTTGGGTAGAGAGTCCAACAAAATGTGCCTCTTTGGTCCATGGCAACCTGCCCTTGCCAGGCCCATCCATGGTGACACATGGTGACTTTCCCAGTGTGTTCTGCTCCTGAACAGTCTACAACCTTTTCATCAGAGTAAGCCACTTATTGAAGCTCTGCCTTTCATAAGCTCCTTGTCCACAAATTCTTGGACCCTTTCAAAACTCTCACCACATCACATAGCTGTGTGTGGTCCTTTATATCTACGTTCTTATTTGCTGCTCTTAAAAATACCACCAATAACTTAACTTGTCCTGAAAGTTCTCAATTTATTTATATTTTTAACATGCCGAGCCACAAAGATGCTGGTTATACTAACATCTGCAAATGCCTGTTTATACTCTGAACACAATTTCTGCAGAATTCCAAAGAGGCTCTTTTATGAACGAGTTTTCTGTAAAAAGGTTTTGACGCCCAGGCAATTTTTTCATTTAATAGACAGCCGCATTTCACAGCAGTGCGCTTATTTTATTCTCTTTCAAAAACAAACAACAGCCATTTCTTCAGTCCATTAAGTCCTCAGATCCCATCCCTCCTGTGCACCACTCACGGCTGCCTTGATTGTGGTGCTTTAGGACATAGTTTTTCTATGCAGACGTTCTTTGTTCGGATGATCTTCTCTTCCACCAGAAAGAAAGGGCTCTCGTATTAGTTCATTAAATGCTTAGCTCTGCTTTTTAGATCCACAGGTTCATTTTCCTCTTAATTTTACAGTAAGAAAAATGGTGGTCTACCTATGGTCTACATTTCCTCTTTTGTTCCAGGCTCATGACTGCCAGTGTACAAGAACCCTGCTTGTACACTGATTTCAGTGTTGGGAAACGATGGGGAGCATGCCAGCCTCGTGGGGACACAGATCCTCTGCTGTCCAGAGAAGCTAGGAATCAAAAGTTTAAGAAAAGTCTCCTAAGTATTTAAACCTTGGTGACTCACTCAAGGTTTATTAAAATGCCAAGTGGGTCACACCATCTAGTCAAGCCTTGTAACTGAGTGTGGTTTCTGGCTGCCCATTTGCAACCTCTGGGGCTGCAGAGTTTAGTGGCAAAATCATTTTATACCCTACCTTTGTTTGGGTCCCCTGAGGACAAAGAGGGAAAGGTGTGATCAGGTCAACACATTTCTGAGGAGCAACGTGATTAAGGGGGGGGATCTTCTAATGAGGCCTGTGGGTGATGACAGCGTTCTGAAGCCAGGTGTGTCTGAGTGGCCTGGCTAACTCACCTACGAGGGCTGGTTCATGTTGGGTTCCCCGTATGGAAACGTGGACAATAAGCCTGCCTTGTGAGTGTGTCAAAAGGAGCAGAGAAGCATCTCCTAGCACACGGCCTGGTATTTGAAAGGTGTTCTGTGCTATAGCGATGACCCTGTTATGAAATGTAAAAAGTTCACAGCAGTCCCCACAGGTCACCAAACACAGCCCTCTGCCCCCTCGCCTGCCTGCACACTCCAGGACCCTCCCACCTGGCCCTGCCCAATCCCTGGCCTCTACCTGAAATGCCCGCCCCTTCCTTCTTCATCCAGTTAGGTCCTGTGAGCCTCCGCCAAGGTGCCACCGTCTAGGAGGCTTCCCTGAGAGCCATCTGTCTAGGTACAGCACTCCCTTCCCCCCGCCGCCCTGGGACTGTCAGTTGGGGCATTGAGAACCTCCACCTCCTGGGTGGAGGGGGCAGACTGGTGTGGCGGAGCCTGCTCAGAGGCATCTGCCTCTCTCCAAAGAAGGCTCTGCCTCCCTGCCCTGCCCTCCCCACGCTCACCCCTGCTGTACCTCTGCCCCACCCAAGACGGGGGAGAGTTCCATTCAGGAGGAACAGGTCCTACAGAGAAGGTGCAGAGTGACCCCTTCTGGGCCGAGTAAGTGAAAACCGGAAAGACATCAGAGGGGTTCCTTCAGAAAGCCGACAGGGAAGACAGAGCCCCGCAGTGGAGGTACAGCAGGGTAGACGCATAATCCAAGGTCTCACCTTCACCTTCACGTAGGCCTTGAGCCAAGCAAAAGCAAGAATGGGTGTGAGGCCAGGGTGGGCGTGACAGCAGGGTTCTTGTACAGTGGCAGTCATGAACCTGGAGCAAAAGAGGAAACATCATTGAGGACAGGGCTGCCATGAGCACCTGGGGTGAAGAAAAGGACCCCCTCCCCCGGGGCTTGCAGGTCCCTCTGACACCCAATGAAAGGAGAGACCAGACAGCAGTCCACATGCACCTGTGTGCACCCTCACCCCGGCACCCTGAGAACTCCCCGTGCAACTCCTCCCCGAGATAGCCCTGCCATGGGGTTTCCTCTCATGTACACTATTAGAAATGTTTAGGAATAATGTGCCAATATTTAATCTTTTCTAGGAACATGGGTGACATTTGGAGGTCAGATTTCAGATGAGGTAAGTTAATTTTCGCATCTACTATGCTGATGAAAGGAAAATGCAGAGGGCCGTGCAATGGGAAGGCTGCTCCTGGGACCCCGACATTTTACAGGGATGATGCTCAGAGCCCAGGAAATGGTGAAGACTCAATTTCATCTTGCTTCTTGTGTGTACATTTGGCCTATTAATAGTCCTTGAGATTGTCAACCTATTAAACGTGCAGGCTCAACAGAAAGTGAGACAGTTTAGAATTAATATTAGTTTATGAAAAGACTTCACTGCTGTCGTTGCGTGCGTTTGTTTTATTGATTTATTCCTTTCCTGTTTCAACTAGGGTGACCCGTTGGCCCCAGTCTGCACACGAGTTTCTCAGTTTTAGCAATGAAAGATCACATCACAGAAAGGCTCTCAGTCCTGAGCAAACCAGGCAATTGGTCACCCTGGTGTGGGCAAGATAACCAACCTCTCTAGCCATTCTACAGAGAATGGGACAGTGATGCTGCCCTGGAAGTCCACGGAAAGGACTAGCAAATCATGCCCATCAGACGCTTGCTTAACCTCTGACTGGTAGGGAATGGCACTCAGCCAAGGGCAGCTATAGGAATTGTATTTACTGTAAAGTTCCTTTAGCTCATCATTTACACATTCAGAACAGTGCTTACCAATGTGATGTTATTATCATTGGCTTCATTCAGGGCATGAGGTATACAGGCATTGAGTGGCAAAAATTCCTCCTGAGTTCAACACCTTAGTGTGTTTCTGGTCCTTCCTTACCTACCTGCAACAACATTGAGGAGTCAGGATAGTATATACCTGCAGGACCACTGAGGAGTCCGGATAGTATATACCTGAACAATACCAACAAGTCAGGATAGTATATACTTGCAGTACCAGCAAGGAGTCAAGATAGATATACCTGCAGGATCACTGAGGAGTCAGGATAGTATATAGCCACAAGAACACTGAGGAGTGGGGAATAGTTTATGTACACCTGCAGGGCCATCAAAGAATCAGAGATAGTATATCTGAGTGGATACACTCAGTGGGACCAGGTCCTACTCTGCATTGACTAACTTGAGTTACTAGCTTTTACATATACCAACAGCTGTCACTAGATGCCCCTTCTCAGCAGGATCTGGGTAGGATTAATGAGAGGTGTCTCAAAGTGCTTAGGCAGCCACCTGGCCAAGAGAAGCCCTTTGCAGAGGCAGTGTTTACTTCCATGTTGTTCCTAAGGAGGAGCTTGGGGGGAAAGGGACCTCTCCCCACAGCTCCCAAAGTCACTAGTGTAATTTAACAGATCTGGGGAGTCTCAGCTGCACATTCTTATCTGACTGCCGGCTCCCAGTACTGGGCTCAGATCTCCATGGAGGGCTTGAATCATGGGGTCCCTAGGAAGTAGTCTCTAAGTTAGCAATGACCTACATGACAGCTGCCTAAATGTTCTGGGGACCCACTCAGGGCAGGGGAGGAAGCAGGATGGGGGTAGGACAGAGGGGATGGACCGACAGTGGCTAGCCAACCCCACGAGCTGAGCCAGTCAACAGAGTTGTCCCAGGCTGGGGCGAGAGGACTGGGCCTTTTTGTCCCTGTACCAACAGGCAAGTGGACAGAGGCTGACTGGAAGCAGGCCTGACCTTGGGCAAGGTGGCTCACACCTAGTACAATTTTGAGAGAAGGCTGACCATTGAAGTGCTCCAGCGTCAGGGAATGATCCCGTCTTTCCTGAAGGAAGGACTGAGGACACATGGCAGAGTCTGCTACAAGTCCCAGGGTGGCAGCGAGCAGGGAGGGAGGTCTGAAGTGAGCAACCGGCTGTCTCCAGTCTCTGCTGTCCCCTTCACAGGGCCTGCTCTCTGCTGTCAAGGCCCCGGCTCCCCAGGCCGGGGCGTGCAGGGCTGAGCCCAGGGCTGAGATCTTCAGATGCTGTGGCTGGGAAGTCCCTCCACATCACTAGGCCAAGAATTCTCTTTCTTATCTTAAAATTCCTCCCCAGATAAGTCGTGCATTTCCCAAGAATCCACCATACATCAGGTGATACAGTACAAGGGTAACACAGACAGCAAGCACGGTAATTTCTAAAACATAGGGCACTCATAATGGGAAAAAACGTAGTTGTTAACTTCTAACCTCTAGTCATTTTAAGTACAGTGACAAGTTACAATCAGTAGTAGCGCATTGGTTGCTGTTGTGCTGAAGGATCTGTGTGGATTCCACTTTGCTAGCATAACAATCTGCCTGTAGGCCCATTTTCAAAACAACAGAAAAACAGTTTATCTTGGAAATGCTGATAAAGCAACTGGAGCCCACCATCCAAAGCCGAAATGGAAAAATCTGTTGTAATCATCCCTAGGTGCGAAATTCCTCCAAAGACTGACACGTCAATCGGCAAAATGAAAGCGTGTCCCGTCTCGACTGTGGGGTGCCACCTCACTTCTGCAGCTGTCCCTGAGCTGTGTCTAGCTGTCCCCCTGCTCCCCTGTGCCCTTGCCACTGTGGTCAGTGACACAGAGGACGCAGGAGCTCCAGATGTCCTGCAGGCTGGGTGGTGGGGATCTGACCCCAAGTCAGACATGGCTCCTTCTCTCCGTGTCCACTCAGCAGGCTTCACAGGCTGCCTGGGGCTTGGCTGAACTTGGATGTGGGAGTTTGATTAGTCATGCCCCTGCCGGACCTTTGGTTCATCAGCCAATTCCACTGAGCCTCCAGGGAGAAAGTCACAAGATTTCAGATCAGGAGGCATCAGCTGCCAAAAGCTATGGGCTCCGAGAGAGCAGTTGAGGACTGGAGTTGACAGTGGTGCACGTGACCCTCTTTGTCAGAGATCAGACCACAGAGATGTTGTGGTACCAGGTCTGCCCAGCAGAGGGGGAAGCACAGATGTGCCCACCTGGCTGTGCTCCCAGCCCGCTTGAGGACACTGCCCACTCCACCTCTGAGGGCTGTCCCTCATGTCGCCCCCCCATGCCTGGGGCTGCTTTTATTCTCTTTCCAACTGAGAATGACAGGTGGTGGGTGACATGCCAGGGTGCTCCTAGTGAAGGATCTCAAGCTGTTTCTCAGGTTTGGAAAACACCGGGCGCTTCTCACTGGCCTCTGTGTCCCCTTGCAGGTCGCTGAACGGCTGATGACGATCGCGTACGAGAGTGGCGTTAATCTCTTCGATACGGCCGAGGTCTATGCAGCTGGAAAGTAAGTTGGTACCTGTCTGTGACCCTCAAGGGCATCTGTGGCACCCAGAGAGCCTGCCCAGGCCTTTTCTAGGTGCTGGTGAGGAGGGCGCTGCTCTCTCCACTGGGGTTGGGAAGTTGACCACCCCTGGACCTCTTGCCCACCCAAACCATCCCTGTGTGGAAAACTGACCTGATGGAAGGTGGACAGTCAGCACCTGCTGTGGTCTACAAAGGGGCAGAGGTGGCTGGGCACCTGAGTGGTGATGGTGGAGATCAGGGGATGGTAGTAGAATAGTTGAGCCAGGAAGTGAAAAAGCCACGTCCAAAGGCTGTTTCCAAAGCTGGCCTCAACACCATGTCTCCTGATTCGGAAGTCCCCAGGGAAGCTGGGACACCCTGCCTGCCTGGCAGCAGGGATGCCCTTCCTGTTTGCAGGCCTGGGCTACAATGGCACTCCAGGCAGATCAGACTTCAAAGCCAGACTCCCCAAAGATGCCAAGAAACCAACGCCTTGTGCAAGAGGCTGCTCAGAGCTGCAGACAAGGCTGCAGAGAGCCTCTTCTTTTGAGCAGCCAGACTAGTGGGGTTCCCTGGGAACCCAGTGCTGGTGTGGGGCTCTGGGGCAGGGCTTGAGAAGTCGGAACAGATGGGCGGCGTGCCCACAGGCCAGGCCTCCAGGTTCCAGCGTAACCAGCACATGTCAGAACAGACCTGGGGCCTGGGCCTCCTGGAGTGGACACCATGTTCCGCCCCCACAACCAAAGAAAGGAAATCCTCAGTGTGAGCAGCTCTGCCATCCTGAGAGGACTGGGGGGCGTGGTCTCCTGCAGCCTCATTCCCTGCCCTGGGGAGGGTTAGGCCACCTGCGGGGCTCCTGAGTCAGGCTCCAATCACAGCAGGGCCACCGAGCACTTTCCCTGCTTGGTCACCTCCTGTCCAAGGACAGGTCTATGTTCAAGGACCCTCAAGGAGATTCAGAGCCCACATCCCTGCTGTTTTCTGTTGAATCCAAGGAGAGAACAAAGTGGTAAGGCCATACTTCCTCCTGCATCCCCTTCCCAGTGTTTTCTTCTTGGGCAGGAGAGGGTCCCGCCTGCCCCCTGCTGTGAGGGATGGTCATTCTGATTCATACTGATTGACTCTCAGTGTGGAGCTCAGAGAGGGTCATGCTATGCTTGTCAAGCTGCCACGGCAGGTGGGGAAGGCAGACAGGAGAAATGAAGAGACAGGGATGACGGTCAGGGATCCTTAGCTGACCTGCAGCACAATTCAGTGCAAGTTGTGTCCACTACAGACTGAGCTTGCAGTCAAGGCGGGTAGCTTGCATGGCTCCCTCTGTAGCCTGCTGAGGGGCCGATGCTAACCCCACCCCACCCCACCCCGCTTCACAACACCCTGCACAGGGGGTCTTATTAGGAAGAGCAGGGAAGCAAGTTTTCATTTCCTTGGTCTTGGTCCCAGGTCAGCAAGAAGGGAGGGCAGTGTGGTGTCTCCAGGGCACCTCTCCACAGCCCAGCCTTGGGGACAGAACAGACACTTGTCATGTCTCCTTATATGTTGCTCACAAGACAAGTTTGCCTGGGACCCAGGGCACTCTCATGTGAGCCACTGCACCTGCAGCCTGGCCTTGGGGACAGCTAAGCTCATATGAGAGTTTGCTTTATCCTCCAAAGCCACCAGGGAGCCAGCATTGCCTGTCTAGGCCATCTAAAATGAGGTGTCCATGTCCTCCTGGCCACAACTGATGTTCTATAGCAGTTAGGGGAAAGCCCTGCCTCCCCCTGGACACTGCCAAGCAGGACATTTATGCATGCCCTCTGGCTGAACAAACGCCTAACTGCCAAGTGGCTCCGGTGTTCTTTAGCACCGGGCTGATTTGGCAGGTGCCTCTGGAATGCTCTGGAGCAGGATTCTGCAGGTGCAGGCAGAAACAGTGGAGCTGTGCTTCCAGCCAAGAGCAGCTACTATCTGGGGGACATGGAGGCACCGGGTGGCTCTGGTGTTGGGTTGGTGCTTGTTCCTCCAGGACCCTGAGCCCTAAGACATCATCTGTTTCCCTCCAGGGCTGAGGTCATCTTGGGCAGCATCATCAAGAAGAAAGGCTGGAGGTACCGTGTTTTCCATAACTGTTTGTTTGCCTTTTAAAATACTTATTATTTTTGTGCCACAGAAGGGAAAATAAAATCATATGCCACCTGATCAAAAGGCTGTCAAATAAAAAAATCAACCCTCAGTAAAGAAATGATTTACAGTGGCTTGAAAATAAAAGCCAACAAGTTCATTACCTATGCCTCAAAAATGATGGAATAGTCATCGATCACCATGAATCACTGCAGGTTGGCAGGGAAAGAGGGCTGCTTAAGAGACATTGGTGCCTGAAAGAAAGTGACAAGTTCGTGCCTTTGCCATTTGTGGTCTGGTGAAGGAGGCGAGCTGCAGGCAGCTGACTGTATGCACACTCAGATTCGTGTTCACCGGTCATTTTAACAGCAACTGCAGCTCCAGGGAAGGAATGAAACAAGAAACCCTTGGGGTCGGTCCCCAAGCCTCTTACCTGAACCCATCAGCCAGCAGCTTCCCTATGCCCAGGAACCCCATCAGCTCCAGGGTATCCAGGAAATTGCTTCCTCTGCTACCCCTCCAAAGAAGCACAAAGCACTGTGCATAGCCGTCCCATCCCGCCACATCTGGAGCCATGGCATCTTCGGGGGAGGGGACAACCCCCTCCACTTCTCCATGGTGTCTCAGCAGCCACTTCTTGCCCAACATGAGCACAGAACCAGCAAAGACTGCTGGGCAAGTCAGGGGTCCTGCTCTGCTCTGGAAGAAGGTCCAATGTCCTAGGGCCAGTGAAGAAAAGTACGCAGCTCGGTACTCACACAGGTGCTTCTAAGGGAGTCCAGGAAACATAGACACCCAACACCCGCAGCTCAGCCCTGGCTTTGTCGTGCCTCTGCATGCATGGGTTAAACCCCTCTGGGAGGAGAGGCCACAGCGGAGATCACCTTCGTTCTTAGGGCGATGTACACTGCACTCCGAGATAAACGTCTGGCAGGCAGAGAGAGCCTTATTGATGTGGAAGCCAGGCACCTGTGGAGACCTGAACAAGAAAGCCATGGCCTTTTTTCACTCTCCCTTCTCCTCTCTGCCACCCCAGGGGACTGTGAGGGTAGTAAGAGAGAGCTGTTCTTCCCCTCACACCCCAGTCCTTCACCTGGGCTCCAGTATTACCTTGTCCCCTCAGGGTGACGTGGCTCCATCTCTGCCTGACAGGGCCTGCAGCTGTTCCCTAGCGCTGCTGCTGCAACAAAGCCCCATGAATTGTGTGGCTAACACAACAGAAATTAACTTTTGCCCAATTCTGGAGGCTGGAATTCTAAAATCAAGATGTTGGTAGGGCCACGCTCCCCCTGAAATTTAGGTGAAACCCTTCCCCTCCTTCCCAGCTCCTGGGGGGGATCCTTGGCTTGCAGGCAGCACTTTAGCCTCGGCCTCCTCACCACACAGCTCCTTCCTGTGTCTGTCTTCCTCTAAGGACAGCAGTCACATCAGCTCTGGGGTCCACCCCACTCCACTATGACCTTATCTCAACCCAATTAATTACATTTACAATGACCCTGTTTCCAAATAAGCTCACACCCTCCGAGGTGCTGGGGGTTAGGAATTTAACATGTTTGTTTTTGGAGGGGACATAAAAACTGCACCTATAACAAAACCCTTAGAGCACTGAGCGTGGTGGCGCACACCTGTAATCCCAGCCGCTTGGGAGGCTGAGGCAGGAGGATCACAAGTTTGAAGCCTAAGCAACTTAGTGAGACTCTGACTCAGAATAAAAAAGGCTGGAGATGTGGCTCAGGCATTAGGTGTCCTTGGGTTCAGTCCCTGATACAAAAAAAAAAAAAAAAAGGAAGAAGTCAAGCCCACCAGTAGTGCAGTGAAGCTCCAGAGTACACCTGAGGATGAAGAGGGGGCACCTCCCACATGCTCTACTCCTCCCCCTGGGCACCCTGAGCCACCCCTCTCCAGGGCTGCAGAACGTCTTACATGCACCCTTTGAAAACCAGACTCACATGCATATTTCATAAGCTTCCCTTCAGCCTTGCAAATAAAACCAGGAGCTCCTACCACGCTGCAGAAAGCTTGTATCAGTTCATGGTTGCCCCCACGAGACAGACTAGGAAAAGATGAGCCTGTCATCCCAGCACTGACCCTGTAAAGCAACTTCACCAGGGACACCTGGCCTCTCACCCCTGAGCTGCTGCTTGCTGGCTGTGTGATCCAGGGCAAGTTGCTTCACTTCTCTGATTCTCAATTTCCCCACCTATAAAATGGGCAGCGTTACTGTGGATGACCTGTCGTGCTGACAAAGTGAGAGAAGGTGGGCAGAAGCCTTTTGCAGGCTGTGCTGCCTCACCAGCTCATTCTCATTCTGCACCCACTCTCAAGAGCTGCTCTAGTAGCTTCCACGGGAGTCAGAGATGATGTGGCGGGCTGCTACAGTCTTCTCTGGCTGTTGAGCATCATGTTAGTGTGCACACGCATAGAGGCCAAAGCCTCACTGTAGGCAGGTAAGTCTACGCTGGTGTTGTGCTAGAACCCGCAGCTTTGGCAGGCCCCACTGCTCTGAGAAACTGAAAGGTCTGGTTCATTTTTTATCATATCCCATGCAGCCTTGTTGGAAGGTGGAAAGGGCTTGCTGGAGGAGACCCTTTCCCCTGTGGCAGGTTGCTATTAGGGTACACACCGGGGCTGGTACATTAGCCTGGAATCTATGTAGGCCCTCTGGGCTGTGTCATCTCCAGGAGCATGTGTTTGTAGAGCTTCCGTTACTGTGACTTACAGAATTTTTCAGGGATTCAACTTCAGTGAGATGGGGTTGCTGACATATTCCACAGATTTTTCTTGTTGCAAGTGAGTTGTCAGAACTGTCACCATCTTTCCCCAGTGGTTGTCATTAACCACGCCAGGCTGTTATCCTGAGAGCCTTGAGGGTCCACCCTACAGCCCACGGGATTATAAGCGCTTGACTTCAAATACTTCCAAGGTTTGGTCTTAACCTTCAAATCTCAAATGATTTTTGCCCCAGAGCAGCTCAAACAGATCACACACCCAAAGAGTGTGGATGACACTGAGATCTGCCCCCACTCTTCATTCTGTGGGGGCAGTGCTCAGACCTCGTTCTAGGGCACCAGGGAGTCTTTCCCACCCTCAGGTGTGCCGTGGAGGAGGTAACCAAGGAGCTGACAAGATGTCTGTATTTCCTTCCCTTGGAGGTTAAGTGGTAGCGCCTTGAGTAAAGGATTTTAGGACTGTTTTCCTAAAACAGCATTTCCATTGAATAAAACACTCAAAGAAAGTATTGACTGTTGGACTTGACCTTGTCACTCATATTGCTATACGGTCCACTGCAGCCTGTGCGTGATGGTTGGGAGGATAACACCTGGGAGTCTTGGGCCCATGGTCCTGGGCACAGGGTGGACTTCCTCCTGGGCAAGTTCACGGGCAATAGCACTGTGCCAGATGCCCATGAGTGTCTGCTCATTCGTGTTCTAAGGCCACTCACCCAGAAGTCCACTCGCTTCCCTTCCCGCTCTGGCGGCTGGCCCTCCAGCTGACCTCCAGGCACCTGAACCGCCACTGCCCTCCTCCCACTCCATCCCTGTCCTCTGGGGCCCGACTTTCTCCTTGCATTTCATTGGTATGAATTAGCTAATTTATCTCCTTAGCAATGTTTTGTGAGGCACAATAACAACTTCTTTCTGGTACGATGATAACAACATGCCCACAACGTGTTTACGGTTTCTCTGTGTCTGTTTGCTGTGCAGGAGATCCAGCCTGGTCATCACAACCAAACTCTACTGGGGTGGAAAGTAAGTCAACTACTTATTTTATTTTCCCTACTGGAGAGTTCACGCCTTTATTCTTTTAGGTAACTATTTTACATCTAACTTTCACCAAATTTGATTGGCTTAGAGACAGGGCTTTTTTTCTCCCTCTCAGACTAA